ATAACAAGGTCCAAGTGTCCCTGTAGCAAATGTACTGGGTGCCTGGGGAAATAGCAGCTAGTCCTTGGGTGTGCAAACACCGGTGCTCGCAACAAGGCTAAGGGTGCTCGGGGTGAGCATCTCCTACGCAGCTCAGAGCCTTTGCGTTACACACAAGCGGTTCTCGACTTACAGCCGTTCGTTTAGCGACCGTTCAAAATTACGACGGCACTGAAAAATGTGACTTGTGCCCAGTTTTCACACTTATGACTCTTACCACAACCCCGTGGTCAGGTGGTTCAAATTTGGGCACTTGTCTTTATGACAGTTGCACTATCCCTCAATTGTGATGATAAGTCGAGGACTATCTGTATAAGGTTTCTAATTCTATTCCACAAACACACACACACACCAAAGGAAAAAAAATGTTTATCTACATTGCCTGCTGTTCGGCTTTTGCGAAGTTCAGAATCAAAACACCAAACTATCAACCGTGGGCTGAATTCTCACATCCCAGCCACCAAGGCTTGTAAGTGGCCCAGAGTCACTCGGTTGAGTTGGGCGGATTTAGAAAAGGAAGGAAGGAAGGAAGGAAGGAAGGAAGGAAGGAAGGAAGGAAGGAAGGAAGGAGAGAGAGAAGGAAAAGATAAGAAAGAGGGAAGGAGAGAGGAAAGAAAAAGTAAGGGGAAAGAGGGAGAAAGGAAGGAAGGATTAAGAGAGAAAAAATATGGAAGAGAAATATTCTGAGAGAGGAATGAATGAATGAAGGAAGGAAGGAAGATGAGAAAGATGGAATGAAGAAGGAAGGAAGGAAGGAAGATGAGAAAGATGGAATGAAGAAGGAAGGAAGGAAGGAAGGAGAGAGAGAGAGAAGGAAAAGATAAGAAAGTGGGAAGGAGAGAGGAAATAAAAAGTAAAGGGAAAGAGGGAGAAAGGAAGGAAGGATTAAGAGAGAAAAAATATGGAAGAGAAATATTCTGAGAGCGGAAGGAAGGAAGGAAGGAAAGAGGAGGGAGGGAAGGAAGGAGCAAGAAGAAGGAAGGAAGGAGATGAAGGAAGGAGCAACAAGAAGGAGGGAGGGAAGGAAGGAAGGAAGGAAGGAAGGAAGGAAGGAAGGAAGGAAGGAAGGAAGGAAGGAAGGAAGGAAACCAGCCAAAGCACGGGATAACACAGCGCAGTGTAGAAACGCAGCCAGCATCTGGGTCACGGACACCCACAGATTCGGGTGGGACATCACAGCTAAGGGTTGACCCCGCTTACAACTCAGGCCTGGATCGGAGGGGGGGGGACCCACGACGCAGCCCCTTACCAGTTTGGGCAGGCTCCGCCGGGAGAAGACTCGGCGAGGGCAGCGGAGGTGAAGGTGGGCCGAGCACCAGCTGCGCATGTTGAGCCACTCCACCGTCCGGGAAGGGAGAGGGCCGTCTTCTCGATACAGCAAAATCAGTTGTTTCTGAGCTCGGACGGCCGTGTTCTCCAGCATCCGTTCCAACTGGTACAGAAAGTTGGGGTGGGGGTGGGGGGTTAGGTGATCATTATGGTGGAAGGTAGGAAGAGGGAGGGGACTCCTTCCCAGAGGCCAAAGAGGCCATAGACTGAGCTTAGAGTTTCCTGGTGGGCAGGAAGACAGCAAGGATGAAGCCTTCCTAACTGTTCCCATAGTTATGCAAATCGTAGCTTTAGTCCGGCAAGATTCTGTCTGTAGGCAAACAACCATAAACTACAGTTTTTGACTTACAACAGCTCATCCAAAGTTACAACGGCAGTGGAAAAAAAGAAGGGACTTATGACCGGTTTTCACAGTTACAACTGTTGCGCCATCAAAATTCAGATCCTTGGCAACTGACTCCTATTTAGGACGGTTGCAGTGTGCCAGTCTCACGCGGTCTCCCTGTGACAACGCAAAGCCAACGGGGAAGCCGCTCAACAACCGGGTTTACTAACTTCACAACTGCAGTGATTCACTTAACAATGGTGGGAAGAAAGGCTGTGGCAAAACTTACTCAACAACTATCTCTTCGAGCGACAGAAACTTTGGCCTGGGTTGGGATTGTTAAGTCAAATATTATCTGTGCCATTTTATTCCCCACCCCTAAGTTTAAAAACTGGCCTCTAACAAAGCCGGAATCCAACTTGCGTCCTTTTTTGAGCGGTTCCGGCATGACTCACCTCCCCGACGGTCGGCTCCTGCTCGCCCAGGCCCACAATCAAGATACAGTCGGCCTGCCGGATACAGCGCTGAGTCCAGGGCGTGAGGGTGTCGTCTGACTGGTAGAGCACAATGCGGTGCATGTCCTCCTGCTGACCCAACCAGCTGGACAACCGATATTCATGGATGCTAAGGGAGGAGAGGGCGGTGAATTTCTTTGAGGCTGGTCACGCAGCATCAGCTACAATCTGCCGGGCGGGTCAACCTGCGAGGAGCCTAGAAGAATCTTCCTAGCATTCTGGGCTTCTGCAATTTAAGGGACTTGCAAGGGATTCAAGTTTAAGGATGCTCACTCAGCTCTGCCTTGGTGTCTGCTGAGCTTCTACCTGGTGAGGCCCTTAGCCGGTGTTTCTCGGTCCTCCGAAGAAGGATGCTTTGAACCATCGTTCTACATCTCCATGTCTATGGAGATCCTCAATCCTCCAGGTCAAAGGTGCTTTTTCATGAGACAACTGGACTTTCTTTGAAGACGTTTCGCTTCTCATCCAAGAAGCTTCTTCAGCTCTGGAGCTTCTTCAGCTTTTCAGCTTCTCCTCTGAAGAAGCTTCTTGGATGAGTTTCAAGTTTTTAAGGGCTTGCTTACGTTGTCCCGGGGACAATGAAAGTCCTTACCTGTCAAGAGCGGCGGAGCCCAGCTGTTGCTTGATGTTGTCGCTGGTGAGCAGCAAGGTGGGACCTGGGAAGAAGTCAAGGAGTTACTTACAAGCAGGGCCATGGATTTGCCCTCAAGATTTTAACTCCAATGCTTGTTATTTCCCTGCCAACTCGACCTCCCTCCAGGGTGCAGCTAAGCCAAATAAAAAGCTTGGGGCTAAAAGGAGTATCAGTCAAAGCATCTTAAGCAGCAGAACCAGAAGTGAAAAGATCCTGGGTGGGAATGTGATTGAAAGATTAGTATCGTGAGGAATTACAGACTCAAAAGAGTTGGAAGGGACCTTGGGGGTCTTCTAGTCCAACCTCCTGCTCAAGCAGGGGACCCCCAGACCGTTCCAGACCAGTGGCTGTCCAGTCTCTTCTTGAAAACCTCCAGGGATGGAGCACCCACAACTTCTGGAGAGAAGCTGTTTCACTAATTAATTGTCCTCACTGTGAGGAAATTTCTCCTTTGCTTTAGGTTGCTTCTCTCCTTGATTAGTTCCCCACCCGTTGCTTCTTGTCCTGCCTTCAGAAACTTTAGAGAATGGGCATGACCCCCTCTTCATTGTGGTAATTCAGAGCAGATCACAGTGTTTGTTCCCTGTGACCCTCTATGGGAAAAAAAGTTGAACTTCCATGAAGCAGGAGAAGAAGAGCATGGATGTTCTTAAAACTCGGCACTGGAGAAGAATCCTGAGAATTTGTGGACAACCACGAAAACAAACCAATGGATCATCAAACACATCAACCCAGAGCTCTCCCTTAAGGCATGAATAACCAAGCTTAAATTATCCTACTCAGATACGTTTATTTATTTATTTTTATTTTTATTTATAATAAGACTTATATGCCGCCCTTCTCCCCCATGGGACTCAGGGCGGCTCACAGCATATTAAAAACAATACAAAACATTTCCCTATAAAAGGCCTAATTCTCTGGAGATAAGAGCCAGCGTAGTGCAGTGGTTAAGGTGTCAGGTTAAAAACTGGGAGCCTTTGAGTTCTAGTCCAGCTTTAGGCACGAGGCCAGTCCCTTTTGCTCAGCCCTAGGAAGGAAGCAATGGCGAACCGCTTTCAAAAAAACCTTAGCTTATCCAAGCAGTCACCAGAAGTCAACCCTGATTTGAAAGTACCAATATATATATATATATATATCTTTCTCTTTCTCTCTCTTTCTCCCTCCCTCTCTTTCTCTCTCTTCAGGTGAAGGACAGAATGCGTGGAAGAAAATCTATCTCTGTGGTCACCAAGAATTGATTCCGACTTGATGGCACAGGATCGATCTATCCGTAATTGGGATTTATATCCCATTTTTTTCTAGTCAAAGAGCACTCAGGACGACAGCTGGATTGTTGCAGCTATTTCCTAGGGATGGGTCAGCTTTTCTTCTTCACAAGAGCCAGGATACTAGCCCTCAATACCACAAACATAACCTCAGGGGGGAAAAAAAGATCCAGGAGACAGCAAACCGGATTTGCGTGAACGAGAGGCAGAGAAAAACCCATAAAAATTCCGCTTTTCTTCCTAAACAATCTTCACCAAATGGCTGGTAGTCTACTTTTCTCACTTGGGGCCCACGGATGAGACAGATCCTGTACAAAAAAACCAGCCTGCTTTTTTAATCTATCCACACGCCTCTGGTGCGTTGCTTGGTGACAGAATCTGCTTGTCCTAACTTGCAAGCCAAGTTCCACCACGGCCCTCGCTGCTCACCAATCTTTAGTTTGCCCGCTTGGATCGCAGCTCCTAACTTCCGTGCACCTTTTTCCCCCCCCCCTTTTAGGATCCCCCCAAAATCCCTTTAATAATCACCCTGTTAAGTTGCAGCTCTAGCTTCTGGAAAAAAAAAAGGGCAGTTTTGGATTGCTAGATCTAAAGGAGAGCAAAGCACCGGGGGTTCGGCTCTGTAGAATAACTGCAGCTTGGCAGCGTGTTAAATTGAGGGGGGTGGGTGGGATGGGTGGGAAGGAAGAGAGGGGGGATTAAATAAAAAGGAAGAGATCAATGTCGTCGCCGG